CAGGCCCTTATCCCGCAAATAGCGTTGAATGGTCTGTATACAAAGAGAGGATAGATGACTTCGAAATAAGAAGCCAGGTCATCCGAACAGACAATCTGCTGAGATGAAGTTTCAGACATCCGAACAGATGGCCAACAACACTGAGAAAGACCGCGCATACATGCTACCGACGGCTCACCACCCATACCATATATATGTATGTACCACCCGTACCTATGTTATGTGTGCACCCATACCATCACCCGCGCAGATGGCCAACAACACCGGGAAAGACCACGCATACATGCTACCGATGGCTCACCACCCATACCATATGTATGTATGTACTACCCATACCTATGTTATGTGTGCACCCATACGAACACCCGAGAAGATGGCCAACAACACCGGGAAAGACCGCGCATACATGCTACCGACGGCTCACCACCCATACCATATGTATGTACTACCCATACCTATGTTATGTGTGCACCCATACAAAAACCCAAGCAGATGGCCAACAACACCGGGAGAGACAGCGTATACATGGTACCGACGGCTCACCACCCATACCGATAACACCCCCCTTGAACAAGACGAGTCATCGAGGCCCTGCTGGTAGGCACGACTCTGACCCTTAGAAGAGTGGAGAGAATTCGTGGAATTTCTCCGAAATATTAACAATTACAATTCATACAATTGTACATATGTTATATTTTTGGGGAGGAGGGCGACACAAACGCATCTCCAAAGTGCATGCTTAATCCGATAACCACAATTTCAACAGCGCAAGTACTAACCCGGTTTTTTAGCATGCGCTTTTTCTGGGAGTCTCAGTCAAATCTCCGACCGACAGCGAATCCGATCTTTGAGGGACCTTAACATCAACATTATGATAAATGGCGTATAACTCAGGCAGATAACGCTAGAGTCGATTGAGAGTCTGGATCTCAACTTGCGAGAACTCATTAACAACATGATGGGCGTACTCCACTGTCTCCCCCTTCCGGCGGGGTCGTGAAGGCTTGTCTTACTAAAGGTCTCCCTGTCCCGCCCCATTGCTTGGAATATATTGAGATTGGTATACTGATACATTATATATAAAATAATGTAAATGAAGGATTTTGATGTTCTTCCTAGAGAGTCAACGAGAACACTTCTTCCACAAGATTTCTGGAGAAATCTACCAGGATTGACTCAGTCCGAAGCATTTTTAAAAACTTCAAAAATATGTTTATACCAGCCGTTCCTGCTGAGCAGGACTATCCATTCTCCACTCTTCGCGGTTTGAGACTACAACAACAAGTTCGTGCCAAACATGTATTTCGTTATCATGTGCTCCAAGAACATGTTTGATGTTGGTTCCTCTACATGCGAAATGGTCTATTTTGCCCGATTCCATGTTGCTCGATGAGTTTTCGAGTCATAATTGGCTCTTGCTTCACTTATTATTACTAGATGTGCATGCGGGTTCAACCACCATGGTGTACAGCAAATACATCATGTCTTTCTGTAGCATCAGTGCTACCTCTAGCATCAGTTCTACCTTCTTCTTTCTTTCAACTCTTTCTTTATGTTGGTTCCAGATCAACCTGGGAACGATCTCTGTATCTGTAGAGTAGGGAGGGTGAGTGTAAACCCACAGCACTTAGGTCACATGTGACCTATTGAACATCCTCCCGAGGAGATATATCCTTTATATCAGCAGGTAAAGGCCAAGACTAGTCGAACACACACACTTTCTTATTGAGGATAACTCCGGACACTCGCATAGGACATGCCTGACAGTTTCACCTTCCTGTTTACGCATCCTGCATAGAGGTGTGTCTACTAGCCCCATATTATGGGGCTAGTAGATATCCTATTGTTAAGCGTAGATTTTTCCTGGTCATCGCCAGATATTTCTTCGGCGCCAGCTTCTCAGGGTCGCCCAGAGTGATTCTGGCAAGATTGCATACTTTAATTTCATCCCATTTCTTCAGCGATTGTGCATGGTTGTAACATTTGGCTAGTTCCGCAATTGTTAAAGTCATCAGGCCGTAGGTGCCACAGCCTCCTAAAATTCTTAGTCCAGCACCTGGGAACTAATATCACTCCCAAATATTTGACTTCCCCCGACCACTTTATCTCGTCACCTCGAAGGTTCAGAAGTCCTAGGTTCTTGGTTTTGGTCCTCTTGGTGATTGCTACTATGGTCGAATTCGTTAAGCTTGTGTCTAAAACTTATCTACTGATTTAGTTTGGTACATTATACTTTTCTTCATAAATCCCCGTAAGAACTTTAGTGGCATAGGATCAGCCTTTCTGTACACTGACTTGGAAATATTAGCTCAAAGTATTGTCGAACATTGATTGGGTAATGTAGTGGTGCTCCATCTTACTGGAACCATATCGTATTTGGAGAAACTTGATGTAGTTTCTGCTTACTTTCTTATTATTAAAAATGAAATGGTTTTGTCTTTCGCTAATCAGATGAATTTATGTATTTCAGAGTTGATTTTTATATAAGCTGAGAAAATTTTTGGAATGANGCGGATGACCTAGAGGAGAAACACAAGATATAAATTAAAAATATCTACAAAATGAGGACAGAAGGGACACCGCAACGAAGAAGTAACCCTAAACCACTTCAATTTCCAGGCACACTGTGACAGTACGGAAACATGATTTGGTGTTAACTTTGTATAGTTACTAATGGAGGCAGGCAACGGCCAGGCCAATGCCGTGCTGTCTCCCGTCCTGTCGCAGTGTGCCTGGAACTTTGAAAGGAACTTCGCAATAACTCCAAACAAATCTCTCAATGTCACAGATGTCAGCTTTGTGGTCACGCAATATCAAACTGCAACAGTAAATTCAGATATCTAAAATGCGCCCAAGAACATCCAACATACGAGTGTTCCTATCCCAAGGATGGACCTACATAGTGCGTTAACTATGCAGGCCCTTATCCCGCAAATAGCGTTGAATGGTCTGTATACAAAGAGAGGATAGATGACTTCGAAATAAGAAACCAGGTCAACCGACCCCAGAGATTCACTCCAGCCGAACAGACAAGAACAATCTGCTGAGATGAAGTTTCAGGCATCCGAACAGATGGCCAACACTGGGAAAGACCGCGCATACATGCTACCGACGGCTCACCACCCATACCATATATATGTATGTACCACCCATACCTATGTTATGTGTGCACCCATACCACCACCCGAGCAAATGGCCAACAATACCGGGAAAGACCACGCATACATGCTACTGACGTCTTACTACCCATACCATATGTATGTATGTACTACCCATACCTATGTTACGTGTGCACCCATAAGAATACCCGAGCAGATGGCCAACAACACCGGGAAAGACCGCGCATACATGCTACCGACGGCTCACCACCCATACCATATGTATGTATGTACTACCTATACTTATGTTATGTGTGCACCCATACGAACACCCAAGCAGATGGCCAACAACACCGGGAAAGACCGCGCATACATGCTACCGACGGCTCACCACCCATACCATATGTATGTATGTACCACATGTATCTATGTTATGTGTGCACCCATACCACCACCCGAGCAGATGGCCAACAACACCGGGAAAGACCACGCATACATGCTACCGACGGCTCACCACCCATACCATATGTATGTATGTACCACCCATACCTATGTTATGTGTGCACCCATAAGAACACCCGAGCAGATGGCCAACAATACCGGGAAAGACCGCGCATACATGCTACCGACGGCTCACCACCCATACCATATGTATGTACTACCCATACCTATGTTATGTGTGCACCCATAGGAACACCCAAGCAGATGGCCAACAACACCGGGAGAGACAGCGCATACATGCTACCGACGGCTCACCACCCATACCATATGTATGTACTACCCATACCTATGTTATGTGTGCACCCATACGAACACCCGAGCAGATGGCCAACAACACCGGGAAAGACCGCGCATACATGCTACCGACGGCTCACCACCCATACCATATGTATGTATGTATACCCATACTTATGTTATGTGTGCACCCATACAAAAACCCAAACAGATGGCCAACAACACCGGGAGAGACAGCGCATACATGGTACCGACGGCTCACCACCCATACCATATGTATGTACTACCCATACCTATGTTATGTGTGCACCCATACGAACACCCGAGCAGATGGCCAACAACACCGGGAAAGACCGCGCTTACATGCTACCGACGGCTCACCACCCATACCGATAACACCCCCCTTGAACAAGATGAGTCATCGAGGCCCTGCTGGGAGGCACGACATGACCCTTAGAAGAGTGGAGGGTATTCGTGGAATTTCTCCGAAATATTAACAATTACATTTCATATAATTGTACATATGTTATATTTTTGGGGAGGAGGGCGACACAAACGCATCTCCAAAGTGCACGCTTAATCCGATAACCACAATTTCAACACCGCAAGTACTAACCCGGTTTTTTAGCATGCGCTTTTTCTGGGAGTCTCAGTCATATCTCCGACCTACAGCGAATCCGATCTTTGAGGGACCTTAACATCAACATTATGATAAATGGCGTATAACTCAGGCAGATAACGCTAGAGTCGATTGAGAGTCTGGATCTCAACTTGCGAGAACTCATTAACAACATGATGGGCGTACTCCACTGTCTCCCCCTTCCGGCGGGGTCGTGAAGGCTTGTCTTACTAAAGGTCTCCCTGTCCCGCCCCATTGCTTGGAATATATTGAGATTGGTATACTGATACATTATATATAAAATAATGTAAATGAAGGATTTTGATGTTCTTCCTAGAGAGTCAACGAGAACACTTCTTCCACAAGATTTCTGGAGAAATCTACCAGGATTGACTCAGTCCGAAGCATTTTTAAAAACTTCAAAAATATGTCACCGAATATCGTTAGACTACAGCAGGAATGAATACGTTGTCTAACAGGTCTACTCATACATATTTTACATTACTGTATAAAACTGAAATGAAAACAACGGGAATTATTGAAAATGATTTGCCATGGTATAAAAATATATTTATCACATCGGAAATAACTATAAAAAAATATAGCAGGATTGCAGACTCATCTTGAACATCACTAAAAATAAAAATCCTGTTGAAATCTGGGCATCGCCCCCTCATGAAGCAAACTTCAACTAGGTTCACTTTTCAAATATAGCTTCAAGTACCAAGCCTTGTATATTTTCAAAAACCTATCCTTCGGTTCAACACTGAAATCTCCCAAACAGAACATTCTAAACGCGTTCTCACCATAATTTCCAATCCCATACAACTCACTGGCATTCTTCCAGTTCTTGAATAAAAAATCATAGGACATGCGGTAGACTTGTACTGCACGAGTACTATGTAAGCCCAAGTCACAGAAATACTTCTCCAAGTCTTTCGGGAACTGGTCCAGAACCTTGAGAGGGCCTGGATTTTCCGTTAAGAACCAAAACACAAAGGGTCTGGCAACCGTGCAAGAGGTTCTGTTTAGAAATATTGTGGCAGTCAGTAGTGCCCAAGGATCATGGTAGAGACGTTCTTCTATCAAATTATGAGGAGATCTTGGAGGAATCCATAGGTGATGGAGCCTGAATTTCGATCTGAATTCACTGATATGCTCGCTTTCATGGTCTAGGATTCTGAAATATTCATATTCGTAATCTACTGGCCCAAATTTGGGTTGAACATTTTTTTTAAATTCCAGATGAAGAGGAACGTCTAGAAATATTTCCTCTTCAATCTCAGATTTGCAAATTGAATTCTCAGCCTTCAATCTACACTCCACGATGTTGTTATGCCCCTGTTCTGTTCTGGATGCACGGTATCCTCTATCAACTGAAAACTCTATGTTGTTATTCAGAAATCTGTGGTGGTTAAAGTATTTGCTTTTTTTCAAGGACAACTTTTCAGTTATTTTGTGATCTTCTTTGGTGATTAAACTACCTTTCTGCCTGTTTATGATACATTCATTTGAAGACGAGGCTGGCACAACTGGTGACTTGTTCTTCTTGGTTTCTTTGCTGAACCTCCTTCTATTGATATTTTTAATAACACTCAAACTTATTCTTTTGAATATTTTATAACTCATGATATACCAGGTTCTTTTAACTTTTTGTCGATATAATTGTGCCCTTTTGACGTCCCTGCTCGGAAATCCATTGAAACATTCCTCCTCTTTGGAGCAATGACTAATTTTGAAGTTTCTTAACCCTTTCTGCATATCATCGATGATTTTTTGCATGGTGTCAGCATATGTTTCGGATATTAGAACTTCATTCCGACTGAATCCCAAAAAGTTGGTTTCCTCAAGATTGTTGTGGTCGATAACTAACAGCCAGTGCGGAATATTAAAACTCCTAGAGGTTCTTTTGTGAACTTGTTCGAGAAATACTTCACTGACACTGACGATTCTAACGTCATGACATTCTTCATAGCATCTGGGATACATATTTGCCACTAGTTCTACATTTTCATTGAAGTATCTCGACAAAGTCGCCATTCTAGAATCGCACCTTCTGTAACAAAAATAAAACATTGTGAAATCGAGGGCATCACAGCAGAACAATGGCAGAAAAAATAATAAAGTCGAAAAACGAAGTATAAATATTTAAAAGCCTTACTAAAACTTCACTTGTGATTGCAATCAACATTTTTTTGGAGATATAGCAGGAAGTGGGCGATAAAAAATTTACGTTGCGGAATTGCTGAATCGAATAAAGTTATTATTTAAATCATTATGCATATATTACATCCCATTATGTAAAAATTTCATTCCTGATTTAAATGAGAGTTAGCAAATAGATCCAAATAAAAACCAAAAGGCTTCATTTGTCAAGTCAATTGTAAAAAGCGTTTTTCGAACACTTCAACATAGAGGATAATTAAAAGTACTTGAGTAGAAAGAAACCCTACTAGGTAAAACGTTAATTTCTCTATAATGTAAGGAAACAATGAAAAACATTAGAACGTAGTTTATGTGATGGAATTCCGATTCCATCAAATAACATTCTAATTTCGAATAAAACTAAACATCTATAGTGGGACGGACTCCATCGCAAGCTTCATCCCTCTTTATAAGTCGTCTTAAATTCACAAAAAAATTGTGTATATATTAATTGAACTACCTATAATAAAGTCATCAGATCTCATAATGTGACTCACTATGAGACCTCACGGTAGGGCGTGTAGACAAACCTCAATTTTCCAAACCCTGCCTTAAAATATGCACTCATATGAGTTTATGTTCCAAAATGTATACACTATTCGTTGATTCTATGCCAATAGTTCCTGCAATGAAGAAACGGTCAAGACACATATTTTAACTCTAATGCAGGGTTTATATAATTAAGGTGTGTCTACACGTCCTAACCTAGGAAGCTTCGTAAACTATTGTTTTATAGTGTAAGCAATATGTACTCATTGTGACGATACTTGACATGATTCATTTGTTTTTGTAAATTGTTTCTAGCAGTGTTCAACGATCGCAAGATTTATACCAATTCATTAGATCTTGAACTTGTGACATACAAATTTTTATTCCCTACACAAGGAGTTGACGGTTGACTAGCGAAATGTGACGGAATACGTTGTTTTTTCAACTCTTTAGCTCGAAAATTAAAAAAAGTTTCATACAAACTTTCAAATTCCTTATAACAAGGTGTGTTGCTTGGAAAAGGAGAATTTTTTATTTGTAATGAATTGTCTGAATACCAATTTTCTTTGTATCTCTCTTCAAAATTGGCGACAGTTCTATGAAAACTTTCACCTCCCTATTTTAAAGTTTTACTATGATCACTGGGTCAGTGAGAGACGAAGTCTGTGTTTTATGAGATAGTAATAAAATCTTTAAATATAATAGCTATACATGTGAAACTAACATATTTTGAAACGAAACTATGATGATTCAATACGACGAAATGCTCCAAGAAAGGTTAGGTAATGCCCTGCTCGTTTTGGAGGGGGCCATCCTGTACTCCCAGATTTAGTGGTTTTTTTTCTACTACTTGGGGGGACTTGTCACTAAAGCCTAATGGGTTTATTACACCTCTTTCAGTAAACCCAATCCAATTTTGGGCACTGTACTAGTTTGAACAGTTTTCTTGCTTGATGTACGTTATATTCTTTTGGATATAATTGAGATTGAGGTATCCGTAGCTCTATTTTATTCAGGTGTCCTCTCAACTAACAGTGTCTAATGAGTAGCCCTGAAATTGTTCAGAGCCGATACCTCCTTTGTTAAAGCACTTCAGGTTCCGCACCAAAGACTCTGGTACCCTCCACAACTGGCTCAGGGCCTATATATGAAGTTGATGATCTGTGTCTGGTACACTCGTCAAATCTTTCGTTACCTGCGATACCTGAGTGGACTAACATCTAGTAAATAATCAATCTACTCCTGTTCGCTAGTTTCCTCAGTTCCTCACGACATTTCCAGTCCAGTCTCGATGTCACTTTCGAGTTCATCAGTGCCTCAAGTGCAGAATGGCTGAAATGAATATTTCTTCCCGGACAGTAAATTCCAGCTCCCGTTTCATGTTCGTTTTTCGACCCGTCAGTATACCAGCCGTTCCTGCTGAGCAGGACTATCCATTCTCCACTCTTCGCGGTTTGAGACTACAACAACAAGTTCGTGCCAAACATGTATTTCGTTGTCATGTGCTCCAAGAACATGTTTGATGTTGGTTCCTCAACATACTCCGAAATGTCTATTTTGCCCGATCCCATGTTGCTCGATGAGTCATAATTGGCTCTTGTTTCACCTATTATTACTAGATGTGCATGAGAATTCAACCACTATGGTGTACAGCAAATACATCATGTCTGATTTAAGCCCCCATGTCTTTCTGTAGCATCAGTGCTACCTCTAGCATCAGTTCTACCTTCTTCTTTCTTTCAACTCTTTCTTTTTGTTGGTTCCAGATCAACCTGGAAACGATCTCTATATCTGTAGAGTAGGGAACCATATCGTATTTGGAGAAACTTGATGTAGTTTCTGCTTACTTTCTTATTATTAAAAATGAAATTTTTTCCAGAGTTGATTTTTATATAAGCTGAGAAAATTTTTGGAATGATGTATTACATAATGGAAAATAATGGAGAGCTAGAGCTTGAAACCGACACTAGTCAAAGTCACTTTTGTTTTCCACAAAAGTCTGGAAATAATTGTCACGGAAGATTCCAAACGTAAATAAGTTATTGCTCATTCTTGAAATTCATTTATTTCATATAGAAGTATTCATAAACACTCAGTTGTTAATTGGTTGAATTCAATTTTTTTCTATTGTATCTAGTCAAACAATAGATTCTTTGTGGTTGTACGCGGAATAAAAAATAACTCGAATTCATCAGTAAATTCACGTTTTTGTTATACAAACAATGCGTAAGAAAAAAAACTCAAACAACTTGCGATGAAGTAATTGTTTGAATAAAAAAATAATAGTTTTCCAATGAACTGTCATTTGAGTAAATATACTCACTTCTTTGAATGCTATAAATGCTTATGTAATCTCATATTGACATTTCTTGAAGAAAAAGCAATCAGAAAATCCGTTCTAATATCGATTTACAAATACATAACTTCAAATGTCACCATTTTTCGGTTTTGAAGGCTGTCGATCTTTGGAATTTCTTCCTGACGGTCCTGGCCCGAGTCGCTAGCTTCTTCAGAGGTTTATACAACCTGAGGAAATCTGATGACTGAATATTACAGCTGAATATTACAAAACGGGACAAACCCAAAAAGAGCATTCACAAATGATGAGGTGAAAATAACAATAAATCATTTGTTTGTTATAAGTAATATGCAATATCTTGTTATGAACAGTTATTAATCAAGTGCAGTGCAAATTACAATAGTTAGATATGAAAATAGTGAATTTCTGTATCTGTTTAAAATGTGGCGTCCTTGAACAAGTACTAATAGTAATAACGAGTGTGATAACAACGCAGACTTTTTCCAGTGTAGTGATTCCAATAGGGATGGTGAACAATGCGAAAAAGGGATACCAGTGAATAAGATTCAGATGCATTTGAATATTTAAACACAGATAAAATGTTTCAATGCATATAAGAATCTACATCTCAAGTTTGGTTTCGAGGGAAACAAACTATTACAATTATATTGTAAAATTATTTGACCAAGATTCCTTTCCCAACTGTACGTAAAATAGTCAAAAACAAACCTTATGAACGCAAGACGCGATGTGATTCGGGATTACCAAAACCTTTACATGTTCATCTAATAAAATCATTGAAAATAACAATATAAGACTGTTACAGAAGCAATGAGATTCCTACAACTAAAATCATAAGGAATAAATTGAATACTTCCGGACCCTACATCACCAGAAGATGGCAAATGAGACTTTGCCGAAACGTTGTGAAAATAATACTTATGGGGATAAAATACACAGAACACGGAGCTAAATCAGTTAGCTCCCTAACTATATTATTGAAGGGGAGCTGTTGAAAGGTAGGGTGTACTATATATTGCTTACTTGAACTATACAAGGTGGATAACTTGCCGTCTTTAAGTGTTTGCAAAGATCCATCACGATTTGTGTCTTACTTTTGTCTCGACTCGAAATACCTGTTTATTTTCTTTAACATATCTTATATATGGATGTGCTAGTTGATCGATGTGGAGAGTCGTTCAGTTAAATATATGGATGATCTAAGAATATGATTGATGACGTTGAAAAAAGCCAGTTGATGGATTATCAGCTGTCAATCAAATTAAATGTCAAAAAGCGATTCCCCGAATACAAAACCAGGTGCTCCACTCAGCTTTCTATACAATTATATGGTTCCGTAATAAACGTATTTGTGGGTCGAGCATCTGCGAAAGTAAGACAAAAATGTATTACTCGCCAATTTTTTGGATGTTACCATCTATTTTATCCTGAGGCTAATGAGTTGTTAAACTTTAATGAATAGAAATAAAAAACATACCTTCTACTTTTTTTTTTGTTAAGAGAATGTTCTTATATAATCTCAATGATTGGGGTCATCTACAGTTTATTCGGGTTCATCTTTTAAGAATTATATACGAATCGTAGTATTCATTAAGAATCAATTCCATAACATATTTGTTGCTTGGAAATCCCGACTTCAATCACGAAATATCGCGATTCAAGTCAAATTTTTCGAAAGTATAGTCGAAAGTTGGAGATTGAAGTCGAAATTTCGGAATTGAAGCCGGAATTTTCAATAAACAAATAATAAAAATTCATCTTAAGGTAAGAAATTGAGTGAAACTTTACAGTGATATTCAAAAAATTCATTTATTTCACTTTGCAGATAATGTAATTAAATACATCAATAAGTAATTGGGAATATTATTATTATTATTCTATCTATTATTTATCTCTTTTGGAACATCCGCATTTATCAACAAAGGAAATAACAAACTTTTTGAGGAGCTGAATAGCTGAAACATAGTTAATAAAATTATTTAACGTATGTAAATGAAGGATATCAAAGTGCTAATGTGAATCCGCATTCGATTATGCAAATTACTAACGACTCGCGAGATTCAGAAATTGTAGGCATCAGGTGTGAATGAATCTGTGGGATTTTCAAATTATTCCATTTGTATATACGTTGGAATGAAATTTTTATTTACTTTTGTAGGGTAGTTAAATTAACTGAGGGTTTATAATCTTTTTATTGAACAGTGCCATCCCCAAAGTAAGGGAAACTTATTTATTAAGGGTTTTTCGATAAAAAGTGATTCTTAATGAAAGTTTGTGCATCCCCTTAAACTAAACATGTATCAACAAAATACAGTAAAATAAACGTAATATACGAGGAGCCTTCAAAATACAGTAAAACAAACGTAATATACGAGGAGCCTTCAAATATTTGATTTTGAGACAGGAGTATACTCTTATTTTGAAAAATTTTGGGAAATGTTATTCAGAAAAGTTGTTCAGCATTAAAAAATACATCTAGATTTGCCATCCAAGCGAAGTTTTATCTTTATAAACTTTTTTTAAATGGAGACCAGGAAAAAAATTGCTAAAACAATAAATAAACAGCATACTATATACGACGGTTTGGCACAAAAACCAAAGAAGGCTCAGGGTGTGGAGTGTATTCCAGATTACTAAGCCTAAGAATTAAGTGGGAAATGGAAAGAAATACCAGCGTGGTCCAAACAGAACTGGCTGGTATCTCAATCGCCACAAAAGAAATAACCAAGAAAATAATTTCTGGCAAAAACATTACAATCTGCACTGATAGCAGACAAGCACTATTAGCCTTGAACAGACACCGTGTTACTTCAGGGCTAGCACTAGAGTGCCAC